GATATCTGACTGCCAGCTTAGGCCCTCTCCCCATGGGGAGAGGGCCTAAGCTGGCAGTCAGACATCCTCAGCGCTGTCGCGGAGACAGGAGAGGCTCCCGCCACCACTGTTGTGCTCGCCAGCCATGGGCCCGGCTTCTGGCTGAGCAGAGCTCCCCCTGTGGGAGCACACTGACCACCACGGGGCAGCTCCAGCGTTGAGTGTCTTTCCCCTGGTGGTCAGTGCGCATTATAGGGACCGGTCGTTCCGCGTCGGGCCGAAACCGGCTCTCCAACATCCCCAGAGGGTCCTGGATTGCGAGAGGGTGCAGGCCAGGCCAAGGGACCCCACCGGTGCATGATCGGAGCTGGGGAGGGACATGGAAGGTTGGCCAGCTGGGGAGGGACCGCAGGAGGACTCCAGGGCGTGTCCGGCCCGTCTCACTCAGTCCCAATCAGCCAGACCCCAGCAGCAAGCTAACCCACCAGTTGGAACGTCTGCCCCCTGGTGGTCAGTGCATGTCATAGCAAACAGTTGAGTGGCCTTAGCATATCATTAGCATATTACACTTTCATTGGTTGAACGGCTGACCGGCCGACCGGATACTTAGAAGATTAGGCTTTTATTATATTGGATTAGCACCCCCACAGTTGTGAATTACCCTACAAACTTAATCACTTACTAGAATTACTGTGAAACCTTTTCTGCTCTTAACACTTAGCTTACTCCAGCTGGCTAGGCAACTCATTTGGTTAGAGAGTCATCCCATACACCAAGTTTGTGGGTCCCTAGTCAGGGCATATGTAAGAAGCAAACAATCAAGGCATAAATAAGTGAAACAACAAAATGGATGTTTCTCTCTCAAAAATGAAAAAAATTACCATTTTTTAAAAATACTAGGCTTACTCCATTTTGTGATGACTCCCTTCACTCATCAACTTTGTTTGACAGTCCATTTTTGTAGTAGGTTTTTAACAAATTCTAGACATTTGAAGCACAAAAGCAAAGCTTAAGAGGTTGGAGTGGGCACACCATTAATTTCCATCAAGGTCTCTTAACATTGTCAGGGCCTTTCCATAGGTGAGGCAGGCTCTGGGTACCTCCTCTTTCTACCTCAAAAATAAAGGGACCTTGTTAAAGGAAAGAGTTTTAGCATCTGCATACCGAGCAAAGGTACCTTTGCTGTAGAACCCAACATTTAACTACAAAGAGACAAACAAGTTGCTTAAGGTAATGTAAAAGCACATTTTCTCTCTGAGTCTTACCTGACTATATGCCTAGATGCCAGAAGTAGCTTTATAATCACCAGTAAAGTAGAAATAATAAAGCCTACCCAACACACGGTATTGTAGGTATCAAATAAAATGATATAAGGGAATAATTTTATAAAGTACTATAAAAATGTTGAGCCCTAGCTGGTGTGGCTCAGTGGATAGAGCATTGGTTTGCAGACTGAAGGGTCCCAGGTTCGATTCCGGCCAAGGGTACATGCGTGGGCTGCAGGCTTGATTCTCGGTGGGGAGCATGCAGGAGGCAGCTGATCAATGATTCTCTCTCATCATTGATGTTTCTATCTCTCTATCCCTCTCCTTTCCTCTCTACAATCAATTAAATAAATGAGTAAGAAAAAGAGATGTTTTTTTAAAAAAATGTTAGGTGACATTATGGAACTCAGTTTTAGCAAGCCCTATAAATCTTTAAACTAACTTTGAATGGTTAGCTAATGGTTTCAGGTGACATACAGAACAAGGCACCACGGGCTCAAGTTCATCAAACAGAACTCAAAAACATGCCATTTTGTAAGAGAACTTATAAATTTTCTTATACTGCCAAGAGTAATAAAGGCATTTGGACTAGTGGTTTGATCCTGAAGACCCACTTCAGCCACTGTCTGATGGAAATAGGTCAGGGGCCAGGAACTCAACAGACTAGTGCCGTGGTCGGCAAACTGTGGCTCGCGAGCCACATGCGGCTCTTTGGCCCCTTGAGTGTGGCTCTTCCACAAAATACCATATGCGGGCGCGCGTACAGTGCGATTGAAACTTCGTGGCCCGTGCGCAGAAGTTGGTTTTCTGCCTGGACCAGACTATTTTGAAGAAGTACTGTTGATATTTGGCTCTGTTGACTAATGAGTTTGCCGACCACTGGTACTGGAAGAGACCCATAGTGCTGCAGAAATCTAAATAAGAAAGAATAACTCTATATGAGAAAGTCAGAAAAGGTGTAACATCTGAACTAAGTCTCCTGGGGGTGGGGGTGAGCACTTTGCCAGTTAGAGAAAAGGAGGCCACTAGGAAAAAGCAGAGTCCTAAAAGGACATTGTATAACCAGGAACTAGAAAGATGCAAAGTGCAGGAGAGAAATGTCTGGGAAAGGAGGAAATAAGACGGGTAATCGTAACAGGCAGGGCAGGGTCCAATGGTGAAGGACTTTACCTATCAGAGCCAAGCAGGAAATAAGGAGCCAATGCCACCCTGAAAACCTGAGACGGAAAAGATTGGATTTGGCCTTTAGGAAAATAACTTTGGCAACAATATGAAGATGGAGCAGAGAAAGACCTATGGAGTGGCAAAAGTCAGGTCAAGATTTGCTAAGGTCTGAACCAGAAGTTAGAAACTCAAATGCCTAGAGGCAGAGTGGGTAAAATCTTTAGTGTGGAAGATCTGGGAGAACGGTGGTATCTGTAACCTTTGAAGAGTGCAGGCCCTGCCTAAAAGCATTCGCACACAAAATTGTAAGCCACTGGGTTCGTTAAACAAAACATCTAGTTTTCGACCTCTGGTAAATATAGGCAGTACAGTGGGAATAAAGAAAAGACACACCTCAAGCAGTACTTCAATACAGTAGTAAACAAAAGGGTTTAGTAGCTGTGGATTTAGCATACTTACAGAACATAAGGCATAAAAAGAGTAAACAGGAAGATTTTCTGGATATAATTAACAGAGTTCAAACATACAGCAATATGAGCAGATAACAGATACTGGGTAGGGGAGATAATGACATGCATGTGCTGAATTGAAGGTGCTTTTGAACAACCTAGTAGGTTTGTCGAATTAGACAAAATTTGTCAAGATCTGTGAAGTTGGAAGTAAGGATCTGAAGTTTGGGAGAAATAGCCGAGCTGGTAAGAAATACTGAGCATAGCTGAATGTATGGGTATATTAGAGATCCTTAGAGGAAGGGGGTGGGGGAAAAATGAAAACATACTCAAGGCAAGGCCTTGACTCACCTCAACATGTATGGGATAATCAAAAGAGAATGAGAAGAGACAAGGGGGCCTCTAAGCCAGATGAAGAGGGTTGCCGGGAAAAAAGAATGGTTTAATAGTGCCAAGTGCTTTGCAGAGATTAAGTCAAATGAAGGCTAAAACCAGAATACTGGGTTTGGGAATTAGGAATTTACTGGTGATCTTCAGGGAGACATCACTAGGATAATGGAAGTGGGAGCCAAAATAAAGGGTTGCTAAGAGGATCAGAGTTGTGGAAGTAGAGTATGGGCTCTTCCTCATTCTACCCTTATTGAGAACCTACTATTTGCCAAGCACCCCGGATATAATTTTAACAAGAGAAGCTGATGCTCAATATATCATATGACTGGAGTAAACACAGGGCTTTCCTGAGTACCCATCAGTCTTGGTGAGTAAGAAGAGACTTCATAGAGGAAGTGACTTCCGGGCTGAAGCCAGTTCACTAGGGCTGAGTTGGGGCAGGGTGTCCAGAGAAGGCTTATTTGTGCAAAGACCTGAGGCAAAAGAGAACATGGATACTTGAGATCATTGTAAGGAGCAGAAGCAAACTTGGAAGGGGGCAATTACCTAGTGTTTGAAGATTTTAAAAGTTTAGAGGTGAAGAGGAGGGAGATAGGGCAATAGCCTCAATAGAATTAGGGATGATGGGAGGTTCTTCCTGTTGTACCAAACCTGGGTTCAGTAACCTTGACATTTGGGTTCTGGCTAGGAAAGAATTCAGAGCCAAGACCCAAACTGTAAGAGAACATTTATTTGGAAAATCATAGAGGTAGAAAAAGTAATTCCTAAAAGAAATGGGCTTAGGAAACAAGTTAAAGAGGTAAAGGAAGGGCCCTTGGAGCTTGGGAGTGAGGAAGCTAATGGCAACAATGCGGAAGAAGGGGGAGTGAGAGAGGGGGTCCTTGGGCTTGCTGCCAGGAGAGAGAGCGAAAAGGGTCCTGTCCTAAGGGTTTTAAGGGTGAGGATTTTAGGGGAGGTCCCAGGGGAAGATCTCAATTGCATATTCAGCATTTTTCCAGGAGTGTCCTTTCAGGGTTGTGGTCTCCACTGATTGACTGGCCTGCAGCAGGGCAGGGGGTCATTATTCAATGCAGCTGGTCCAGACATGGCTGGTTTTATTGCTTATCTGGGCCTGGAGCTGAAATACAGCTGAGGTCTAATGTTATCTCTAGGGAGGAAAGGTCAGGGGTTCCAAACCTCCTGACCAGCAATATGCTAAGGGAGGAAAGTCACCGTGGGGGTGTGGTCCCACTCTACAATTGTCCTTTGCTAGGCACCTGGGGCTTTCCACGCGGTGACCTTCTGTACCTGACCCATTGTCCTTACTCTGCTCACATTTGCCTAACTGCCTACAACACTCCTAATACCTCAGAAAAGAATATGGAAACTCACTGGTAGACTGAATTCTCTACAATTCAATATTCATGATCACTAGGTAGATAAGCAAATATGTTTGCCCTCTTTCTTTAACAACAGTTTAATTTGACTAAACTATTTCTCACAAGACACAAAAAGAACAGAAAACAAGAGCAAAGATGTATAAAGCTGTAAATCTGTTTGACTTCTCTAAGGTTGATATAATACATGGTCTAATTAGGTCTAAAACCACATCCAGATGCCAAATGAAATGAAAACTTTTCCCCTGTAAGTCCCAAAGAGTTGAAGGATTACCTTTAAGATACCCAAAGATAAGGCAGTAACTCACTTCTGAATAAGGATTTTCTAGTGCAGCTCAGTCTAGCTAATGAAACTAAGAGAAATGGTCTGGGGTTACCTGATTTTGCCTGTTTCAAAACATTGCCTCGGCAGAAAGCAAGCTGCCTCCAGTTCCTGCCGCTGAGTCCTTGGAGCCATATTCCGATGAGATCATCTCAGGAACCAACAGCAGTGGCTTTCAGGCAAAGTGAATGGTGCCGCCTGGGGACATATCTTTGGTAAGCAAGACTGCCACAGAGCGGGCAGTGACCCAGGCAGTGCTGACTCATGCCAGGCAAAACTCGCATTTCCCAAACAACTCAGCCTGAGCCAACCGCAGTCAACTGCAGCCTAGAAAAGAAAAGGTGCCCCACGGATTTTTTTTTTTAATCGCATGCTGATTACTGGGGACAGGTAAACTTCATTCCTCTAATGCTGGTCGTTCGGTGGACTCTGGAGCCTTTACTCAGGAAACTCCGGTGGTCACTTTCTGAAATTTCATCTGAGAACAGCTGGGGCTCAGGACAGCAAGATTACTGAAGGTAGCAGGTTCACTGTTCTGAGGATTTCCCCCAAGAGGCTGAAAAAGAAGTCACTTTGCATTTACAAATTAGAAAGCCTAGGTCTGAGGATAGGGGAGCTTGCTCAGTCATCACAGGCTGTTTAAACCACAGGGTGAGTTTTTGTCAGCTCTAACCAGGCTCGTTGTTCTTTCCCCCACTAGGCCTTCTCTGACCTCTATTTCCTTAGACAACTCAAGTTCTCTAGTTAAGACTAATACTGGAGGATTTTTTTCATCAGCTGTCACATTCTCTATACTAAAGCTAAATTACCCACCTTCAGACCTACTAGATGCTTAAGGAATATAGGGGCCTGTGAAAACTGCATTAATACTTGCTTTTAAAAGAAAAATCCCTAAATTTATGTTGATTCTCGTTTATTGGCCAGCTTATTTTTAAAAAATCAATTCTAGAATGACTGGCTCATCAACAGCAATTATTATTTAATTTGCCCTGACAGGCTAGAATTGGCGTTGATACTATACAAAGAAAACAAAAGATTAAGTCCTTGCTTTCTTTGTGTTTTCATTTGACAAAAAAAAGAAATTAAAGTTCACATGAGATCCTTCAGTTCCCTGCTCACAATTTCCCATGGTCATTAGCTATTTCTTAGCCTAGTCATTCGAGGCACCACAGCTAGCCTCAAACTGGACGCAGCTGCCAACCCAATGGTCATTCAATAAATGTTATTAGGTCAATTAAAATATACATGTAAACCATCATAATTTGGGTTTTAAAAAAACTATGCTATTCTATTCCTTCTCAAGGAGCTATTTTAAAAAATGTTTTTCATCCAACTCACTTAATTCCCCTTAATTAATTTATTCCAATAGGTTAGCCATACTGAGCTTGTATAAGGTTTTTTTTTTAAATATATTTTATTGATTTTTCACAGAGAGGAAGGGAGAGGGATAGAGAGTTAGAAACATCAATGTGAGAGAAACATCAATCAGCTGCCTCCTGCACACCTCCTACTGGGGATGTGCCCGCAACCAAGGTACATGCCCTTGACCGGAATCGAACCTGGGACCCTTCAGTCCGCAGGCCGAGGCTCTATCCACTGAGCCAAACCGGTCAGGGCATTGTATAAGGTTTTTATGTTCCCTCTTTTATTTCCTCCCCTTCAGTGTTTCCCTTTTCAGAAAATTGGCTGTGTTTAAAGTTTTCCTACAGTGTATGTTAATTAGTCCTTTTCAAATGATAAAAGCATCCTTACAGCAGTTAACAACCATTATCTCATGGACCACACTTTAAAAAATATTGCTGTAGTGGATGATAAGTCACAAACATTCTAACATGGATGGAGCAACTCTCAAGGCACATACAGTAAGGCACATACAAATATGGAACCTCCACAAGGAAGAAACAGTATATTGTTAGAAGCTCTCGACTCCTTCTGTATTAGTACGTAAGGAAGAGAAAATCCGGACGGTATTGTGCCCAGGAAATAAATGTAAATTATATTAACAGCAACATGAGGGCCAGAAACATCAGAACTTTCTAACTATACTAAGATAAACACCATTTAGTAGGTGCGGTAAGCTAGCGCACATTATCATTTCCCTGTTTGGGATTCTGCACAGTTCCAATCCGTTTCCCCCAAATATAACCATACTCCATCCTAGTTCCTTCTTTAAACTGGAAAGGCTGAAAATTACACATTTAGAGCTTTAAAAATATGCTAAATTTGCCCTGACCGGTTTGGCTCAATGGATAGAGCGTCAGCCTGTGGACTGAAGGGTCCCAGGTTCGATTCCAGTCAAAGGCATGTGCCGAAACCGGTTTGGCTCAGTGGATAGAGTGTCAGCCTGCGGACTGAAGGGTCCCAGGTTCGATTCCGGTCAGGGGCATGTACCTGGGTTGCGGGCACATCCCCAGTAGGAGATGTGCAGGAGGCAGCTGATCGATGATTCTCTCTCATCGATGTTTCTGGCTCTCTGTCTCTCTCCCTTCCTCTCTGTGAAAAATCAATAAAATATATTTTAAAGAATAAAAAAAAAGGCATGTACCTTGGTTGCGGGCACATCCCCAGTAGGGGGTGTGCAGGAGGCAGCTGATCGGTGTTTCTCTCTCATCGATGTTTCTAACTCTCTATCCCTCTCCCTTCCTCTCTGTAAAAAATCAATAAAATATATTTTTTAAAAATATGCTAAATTTGAATTAATGATTTCAGCCACTTGATGTTTTATGAGAATAAATGAAAATCATAAGAACATAAAAGTATATGAGAAATTTTAAAAATTGTGGCTTTGTACTTAAGTTCTTTCAATGCATAATCTTAAAACTCAGGCAAATAATTCACCACCCAAAGCTATATAAATATACTTTTAATGGGTAGCCACAACAGATATGCTAGAAGGGTGTGTGTGTGTGTGTGTGTGTGTGTGTGTTTGTGTGTGTGTGTGTGTGTTTGTTTTGTGTATTTAGGTATATACACCATACCCATTGTTTTACTTGGATAGGAATATGTAATGCCATTGATAACCCACGTTTGTTTTTTTCTGCATTACATATTAACATTATAAACAGTAAGCAGCTGTCAAAACAGAAATAAAAATATTCATTTCTCAGGATTCTATAGTCTTCCAAATCCATAGAAAATTACCAAAAACATACAAAAGATATGGGAGGATAAACACGCCAGGGAGGGAACTGCAATGGGAGCAGATCAAGGAGGAATTTTTGGCTTTATCTATATTTGAAATTTTCTTATTTTTTATTTTTATTGATTTCAGAGAGAAAAGGAAAGGGAGAGAGAGATAGAAACACCAATGATGAGAGAGAATCATTGACCGGCTGCCTCCTGCATGCCCCCTACTGGGGATTGAGCCCACAACCCGGGCATGTGTCCTTGACAGAATTGAATCTGGGATCCTTCAGTCTACAGGTCGATGCTCTATCCACTGAGCCAAACCAGCTAGGGCTGAAATTTTTTAAACAACAAGCATATATCCAAATATTACTTAGTAATTTAAAATTCAGTTGAAGTTTAAAATTATTTTACCATTTATAAGCTACTTTAATCTCATCCCCTTCTCACTTTCTCAATACCTACCTACTTTCCTGTTCCCAACATCCTAAATGATACTGCACATTTCTTCTTTATAATAAAATTAATCTTAACTGTGTCCACATACTTTTTCTGATTCACAGATGGTGAAATGATAAACCAAAAACCAGTGGCTGTCTCACCATGTTGAGAATTAGGAACATTACCAAATTCTAATCTTTGGTGTTCTGGGATCTTATAACCTTTTTTTTGTTTTGTTTTTTTACATTAGTGTACCTCCCTCTTCAAAAAGGACATTATGGTCCTGGCCAGTGTGGCTCAGTTGGTTGAGCGTTGTCCCGCGCATCAAAAAGTTGAGGGTTCAATTCCCCATTAGGACACATACCTAAGCTGCAGGTTTGATCCCCGTTCAGGGCGCATACAGGAAGCAACCAATTGATGTTTCTCTCTCACATCAATGTGTGTGTGTCTCTCTCTCCCTTCCTCTCTCTAAAACATATCCTGGGTGAGGATTTTTTTAAAAAAGAAAAAGGATAATATGCATGTCAACCAAACACCAAAATTAAACATGAAATATGAAGTACATTTTAGGACACTCAAGCATCAACTCTAAGGATACTTAAAAATCAACAGGGGTGCTTATTGAAAATGATCTTTGCCCATCCCAGTCCCAGACACTGAATTCACAAAAGTGGAGGGAGGCCCCAAAGTTGGAATCCTATATAATAAAAGGCTAATATGCAAATCGGCCAACTGGCAGAACAACCGGTCGCTATGACGTGCACTGACCAAAAGGGGGCAGACACTCAATGCAGGAGCTGCCCCCTGGTGGTCACTGTGCTCCCACAGGAGGAGCACCGCTCAGCCAGAAGCTGGGCTCATGGCTGGCGAGTGTAGCAGCGGTGCCGGGAGCCTCTCCCCCCTCCACGGCAGGCGGACATCCTCCAAGGGCTCCAGGACTGCCAGAGGGTGCAGGCTGGGCTGAGGGGCCCCCCCCACCACCCAGTGCACGAATTTCTTGCGCTGGGCCTCTAGTTTTTAATAAGTATCCTCCTCTCCCAAGTGATTCTGATGCAGACAGGCCTTGGATCATGTGTTGAGAGACAGGTCATAGCACTGTTCCCAGTAAAACGATGTTTTTGTTGAAACACCACTGAACTGTACAGTAGTCTCACTGAGCATCTCTTAGACATTAGTCCCCTCACCCACAAGAACCACCATGAACATAACAATTGAACTGAATTTATTTAGTCCGTTGGATCATTATTTTCTTCAAGCCTCCAGAGACAATTATCCTAACTACCTTTAAGGATTTTAGCTGTTACCCACAGTGGTGTGATACTGAGACATTTCCACACCTGGGATGCAGTACAAGGGGCTTAATGGAATTTTTACGCCTGTGAAAATTAAAGTTCACTTGACTCAACAGAATAGTCAAATAAAACAAAGAGAAAACCTCCCCGAAGACAGGGGTTGAAAATAGAGGCTTTTGACTTCCTGATGAGGCAGTTTTGCCCAGAAATTCAAACCATGGGATGCTATATAGCTCATATGTCTTGAGAGTACCCAAATGCCAACTTATCACCACAGCATCAGCCAACGCAGGCTTACTGTAACATTTGGAAGCACAAACCTGCTGTATAAAATGGCCTC